AATGAATGTAGCACAATAGTATTTTGGCTCTCTGAGAAACAGGACAAAAATAAATTCAAAATATCTATAAAGTTCACTAAAACTGAGAAAGGGTAATGTAGAATTTAATAGTAAACACACCTTTTCATTTGGAATAGTATTAGACATATCAGCAGGATCTATCATTGCTGGCACTCCTCCCAGGGACGACACTGCTGTATTCACCAACTGGAAATTCTTCCTCTCCTTTTCCAAGAGCTCTTTGAAAAGCATCAATGTCGAGGTGCCTGTTTTTGAAAGTAATGTGAAAATTATGTTCTCTTCTTTCAACCGATTAATTTAGCACAAAATAACTAAAGTAATCAAACGATAATAAGTTAGTTACAAAGTTACAAATAAAGTTGTTAGTTACAAATATACATTACCAATGTGAAGAAAAAAGCTCAGACCTCAGATAAATCACATAGAAACCAGATGCAATGTACAAAGCCTACTCAGGTATTAAGATGTACTCAGTATTTTCATAGTGTCCTTTTTGCACTTTTAGAAATCACTAGAAGAGCCACAAATGCACATATTCAGCTTTCATTTGCCTTAGAACGTCTAGTGGCAACTTAATGAATACTAATAAATGTAACATCAAGAAGTCCTCAAGGTAAGCTGAAATTTATTATTAAAGCAAACTAGTTTTCTACACAACCCCCTAGTACAGCAGAACTTATGAAGAAAAAGTGCTATTTGTATTAAAATGTAATCATAGCACAAATCTGAACCCCTTAGATACGCAATACATAAATGGTCACAAACTCAATTACCATTTTGGGATTCAGGCCAAACATCAAAGGAGCTCTCAGAGTCACTAGTTGAACTATTTAGTCCAACTGTTCCACGCTGACCACACTCTACTGTCTGTGTTGTACTCTTACTAACAGCACTTAAAGGTAAATAGCAAGGATGATAGTGATGGATGAGGTAACAAAGAACTCGCCCATCAGAGAACGAGACAGTGAAGTTCTCAACCTGGAAAAAGAAACAGAAAGAACAATGATAAAAGGTACACAAGGTGTACAATTCATAATTACATTTTGGGAAAACAAAAGTACAAATTATTCA